GGGAAAAGTAAATGAAGATTAAGTTTAATCTGCTGTGAAGATTGAATGAGTTAATATTTATAAAACACTTAAAACAGAGCATAGAACACAAGTACTGGCTAAGTATTTGCTATGTTTTTTTTTAATGACCCATCTTAACTGCTTCAGGAAATACTCTGAATTCTAAAAATTAGACACTTACCCCAGTTTTAGCAATAATGTTATGAAAAAATTCAGAGCAATGTTCTATGGTGGTAAAAACGAGGAATCGATGTACTCAATAGTCTAGCCAGTAAGGAAAATAATTCTCTTCACTGAAAAAAAAAAAAAAGACAGTCTAGTTAGGGCAAGGAGTGTGTACAAAGGCAGAGACATGAGAAAATCCCTCTAACTATATTTTAAGAAAAATAAAAAAGTTTGGTGATAGGCAAATCAGATATGATTGAAACTGTACCAGTGATAAACATTAGTATTTCGTGTATAGCAATGACACAAGGTTTTATCAAGTAGGAGAATGCAAGAAGCAGAATTGTTCTCAAGAAAATTAATGTGACTCCTACAATGAAACTGGCTAGTCAGAATAGGCCATGAAAGAAACAGTTCAGGAGAGACATGAGAGACTCACAAAATCAAGAAACTTCTGGAGTGAAAGCAGGGAACAGCTTCTTCAGAGAATTTGAGGGTAAAGCTAATAACACTGTGTGGCTGAGTGATGAGGTAGAGGGAAGAAATCAAAGAAGGATGGAATACTACTGTGAAGTCCGGGAGGGGAGTAGGTTCTACAAATTGTCTTACTTTCTTCATCAACTCCAGATTTCCTGTAGAAACATCCATCAATCCTCATGGTTATATTCATACTTCTGGACCTGATCCTTACAAGGGTATTTTCCAGTAATAACCACATTTTATTATTTAAAATTATTACTACTAAATATGTGATAAATATTATGTGTGGATCTAGGTTAAACGTATACTCTTAACCTATAGTATATGGACTATGAATGGACTTACCTTCACCGGGCAAAATCACATTTTTGTCAGTGATGTCAACTGTCTCCAAATCAAGTCCATTTCATTTACACGTTTCTCTTGCTTTTATCTTGTACATTACTACTACTTCTATTATTTTTTTTCCGGTCGTGGGGCTTGAACTCTAGGCCTGGGCGCTGTCCCTGGGCTCTTCAGCTCAAAGTGAGCGCTCTACTAGTTCAGCCACAGCGCCACTTCCGGTTTTCTAGTGGTTTATTGGAGATAAGAGTCTCATGGAGTGTCCTGCCTGGGCTGGTTTTGAACCGTGATTCTCAGATCTCAGCCTCCTGAGTAGCTAGGATTACAGGCGTGAGCCACGGGCTCCCGGCTTTATTATTATCATTATTATACTGTGTGTTATCTTTAGTCCTAGTAGATGTTTATTTCTATGTACTTCTGCTGGTTGTATAGAACTCTATACATATGACAAATAATTTTGTATTCTAGTTACGAAATGAAGATTTTCAAATGGAGATCAAATGTTAATTTCAGCTCACTTGCTGGTGAAGCTCTAAATCTGTCTTCTCTCCTGACATTAACGATGCACATTAATCATTATAAAAGCTGACAGATACATGTAAATATAACCATGTATATAGAATTATGACAGCTTCATCACTAAAGGATTCATATGATGGATATATTTTGATATGCTTTGGGAAAGATTATATAAAATATACACATATACAGCTATGCACAATAATATACTGACTTTAATGTTCTAATACCTGCACTAACCAAGATTTATGTACTCTTTTGGCTTATATGAAGAATTGTGAGGCTGTGTGAGATGTATTTATGCATCAAACTGCAGAAGCTTAGATTGGACAAGTAATTCTCTGAATGGAGTTGGCCACACTAGATATATGCATATCCTGCCCTTAGCTCTTCTTGGGAGTCTGATACTGTTTGAATAGCACCAGAGGCCAAGAGTTCTAGACAAACCAATGATGTTGATGATAAACACTCAACAACAGTAATATGCAAGATAAGGTGCTAGATATTAGGATTCCATTGTAACAATTCCATTTTGCAAAATCAAAACCCCAGTGTTTATTGCCCTGTGTAGTTCTAAAGATACAACCCATTTTTATTAGCAGTAGTACATTTGTCTTCTTAATAGATAGATAGATAGATAGATAGATAGATAGATAGATAGATAGATAGATAGATAGGTAGGTAGGTAGGTAGGTAGATAGATAGATAGATAGATAGATAGATAGATAGATAGATAGATAGATAGATAGATAGATAGATAGATAGATAGATAGATAGATAGTCTTCTTATATTAACCTTTGGAAAGACTTAATGCTTTTCAGAGATGCAATCAATGAAGCTTAAGATCTTCAGAGGATACAAGCAAGAAAATCAAGCTATATCTTCAACATGAATGCTACAGTAAGTACAAAGCAAAAATGACATTCTTGAGCAGAGAAGGACAAAATCCAACAGAGGACAGGAGTAAGGAACAGAAGGCTATAATTATGAGTCTTAATGTGATGGTCATTTTAACTCACGGGTGGTGCATGTTATCTGGGTTGAGCGAGAATGTGGAATACCATAGTGAACCCCTGTGGCACAATGAACATGCACTAAAATAAATGCCCTATTGGGGTGCAGGCATTAACAGGAGGGTAAAGGGTGAATGACGGGGATGAATGAGGGTGAATATGGTCATGTTCTATGTACTTTATATGCACGTGTGAAAATAGAATAATGAACTTGTTTGAAATTGTTTTAAGAATTTGGGGAAAGGGATAAAGGTGGGGCTGGTAGGGTACGTTGCATATGCATACCTGGAACCGTCACTACCGAAACCCATTGTTTGACTAATGCATGCTAATAATGAAAACATAAAATAAATAAAATAAAATTGTTCCTCCATCAACTGATGATGACGATGGTGGTGGTGGTGGCAATACATTGAAAATACTTTATTCCTGGAAAATGGAACTTTCTCTTCCTGTAATACTAGCTTTTTTTTGCAGGAAAAAAGAGCATGCTAATTTATTTTGATCTACATGTAGGCACAGCTTTCAGGGAGAATTAGTTTACTACTAAATTAGATTCTGTGGTGAACATGATTAATTTTGTATTCTCAATGGGATCTCTACAATCAAGGGGAAGAATTGGCACTGCCACATGGATTCGATCACCATAACCTGTAGTTAAACATATACATAGATACCACCCTCTATTTAGATCTAAGAAATGAGTCACACAAGCCACATTGTTGAGCCCAGGTCACATCCTGAGAGGAGTGACAGGACAAAAGAGGCTGTGGACATCATAGAGACATTTCTAGTCACTCTTTGACAAATGTGCCAATGAACTTCTAAAGCCTTTTCTTTCTAAACTTCTCCTCACTGAGCTGAATCAAAAGCCTGGGTTGTTCCCACTGCAGACTGCGTGATATTGCACGGACAAGTTTAAGCTAGAAGCTTCTATTCATGAAACTGGATTAGAAATTTCACAACCAAAGATTAATTTTCTTGTAAGAATCTCTAAATACTTGTTTCCAAGAGGGCTTTTCTGCATTTTTAGCACTTCTCCTGGACAAGAGAACAAGGAAGTATAATTGAATATGAAAACAGTATAGAATCGAAAGAGAAGAACAAAAAAAGATGAGAATTTCTGCTACTGATGCAACTTCTTCCAGGAAGGAGGCGAGATGTTTAAATGGGTTCTGATTACGTGGGCCTATAATCTTAATGTAACTATTAAAATAGAGTCATGTGTTTAATGAAGCATTGGACTCAGATGAAAACGTACTCATATTCAAAGAGAATCTCTCCTCTAAGAATTAAAGCATGCCATCATATAAATATTATCAAAAAACATATACATATTTGTATTATTGTCTTGCAAGACATAAAAACATACAGATGCATTTGATAAGGCATGGGTAAACTAAGGAAATCCCACCCAGGGACTAGTACCATCCCAGGGCCTTGTACCATACTAGACAAACACTTTATCATGCAGCCACTATTGGGACATTTTTTTTTATTGTGAAAATACTGTACAGAGGGGTTATAATTACATGGGCAAAATAATGAGTACATTTCTTATCAAGCATTGTAGCCTCCTCCTTTGTTTCCCCTTCCCATCCCATCCTCCCCCGGCCCCGCCCCCCCCAACCCTCCTCCCCGCCCCCTACCAAAGTTGTAAAGTTTGTTTTCAACGTAACAACTTGTACGTCTCATTGTTGCAATGGGTCCACCTGTATCCCTATTTAAATGTTTTTTTTTTCCCCTTCCCCTCCACAAATTATAACAATCAAATACAGTGAAAGCAAGGGTTATGCCGTGTGGGAGGGACATACAAAGCAACAAAGAAATAATCTTATAAATGTATTAGAAACAATCGCATGAATGAAAAAATACATTTGAGTACATATCTTAGGGTTCATTTCCCTAGCATCAACTTATCTGACCTTTTCTGCTTGACTCAGACATATACTAGTTATTGCAAATAAGGGAAACCATGGGACCTATGGGACATTTTTTTGATAGGGAGGGTCTGCTATAGAATTGGGGATCACACATGCTTCTTCAAATTTCTACAATATAAAATCTAAACAGTAAAGAACAGTTCGGTCCATGTTACCACTCCCTATCCCAATTTATGATGTTCTCAGTAACATATTTCTCCTAAAATACCCACTAATTTCTTTCTTTAATGCTATACATTTTGGCTTGAAAGCATCAGGCATGGCCCTGACACTGCTAGAGAGTATTCTGGTAGGATAGAATATAACTCTTGGCCCAAGGGACCAAGAAAATCACTGTAAGAAGTCTCAGAAATATTTGACTCTGGCACCATAGCAAATAGTCCCCTCCCACAGAGCTTTTACTAATGTGAAATTTTCTATATTCTTAGGGTGTTCCTCTCTTCAACTGTTCATGAGGTTAGCATAAGCGAGAACCCTCCAAAAATAAGAGTTTGTGTTCCCAAAGCACCAGTTTATGACAGTGCATATAAATAAGAGGCTCAGTATAGGACAAAGAAAACTATCTATCTTTTCATGAGTTGGTTTTCTAAACGTGCGACTAAATGAAAGAATGTGGGGGTGGAGCCCAATATAAATGCAAGGCTAGAATAAAAAAGAACCACCTACAAAAGTCTTTCCTTAAAAAGCACCCATTCCTAAAGAAGATGCACGGAGTGTAGGTTTACATACAAATTTAGCGTCTACCCTAAGTGGCCTTCTGACAATAACTTCTTCGAAGGAGAATCTTTAACCCATTAGATGTATTTTCTTTAAAAGGCAGTTACAAGATGCTTAGATATCCTTTGAAGTTCTAAATATTTAATATGATGGGGACAGGCCATACCTTCCCCAGGGATTGAGTGATTGAGAATCATTTGACAATGCTTTGAGAATCAACATTCAAAAATAATAAAAATTAATCTTTAAGTGGCTCAGCTGTAAAAAGAGATGCATTAGCTATGCTTTGATTTATGTTGCTATTTTGAAAGAGACATTATTGCTGGTATGCACACAGTAAATCTGTATGTTATATTCTCATATGCATGCGTGTATACTCACATTTTAAATACATAAAAAGATACATTTTTATAGGATATGTATGCAATTCTAGGCTCCTGGGACAATAAAGAGGACACAATCCAGAACCATTGGACATTAAATATTAGAGACAACCTCTCATCAGTATAACATTGGAAGTCGCTAAGAAGCTTGACAGTATCGGACCTCCGTAGGAAGGAACTCTTCCCCTGAAGTCCAGGAAGCCTGGGCCTCAACTCATTTTAAAAGGCATTTTATGTGGCAGGACTATTTGCTCCTTCTACTTTTGTGGATATGCATGTCAAGAAGTCATTTCCCAACCTTTCCAATTTAAGGGTATTTTGTCTGAGGCTGATCTACAGTCAGAATCCATATGCTTCCTTAATAAATAGTCAGTACTCACAGGAAGAGAAATAAGAAGAAGAAGAGGAAGAAGAAGAGGAGGCGGAGGAGGAGGAGGAGGAGGAAGAGGAGGAGGAGGAGGAAGAGGAGGAGGAGGAGGAGGAGGAGGAGGAGGAGGTGGAGGAGGAGGAGCAGGAGGAGGCGGAGGAGGAGGAGGAGGAGGAAGAAGAAGAAGAGGAAGAAGAAGAAGGAGAAGAAGAAGGAGAAGGAGAAGGAGAAGGAGAAGGAGAAGAGGAGGAGGAGGAGGAGGAGGAGGAGGAGGAGGAGGAGGAAGAGGAAGAAGAAGAAGAAGAAGAGGAAGAAGAAGAAGGAGAAGGAGAAGAAGAAGAAGAAGAAGAAGAAGAAGAAGAAGAAGAAGAAGAAGAAGAAGAAGAAGGAGAAGAAGAAGAAGAAGAAGAAGAAGGAGAAGAAGGAGAAGAAGGAGAAGAAGGAGAAGAAGAAGAAGAAGAAGAAGAAGAAGAAGAAGAAGAAGAAGAAGAAGAAGAAGAAGAAGAAGAAGAAGAAGAGGAAGAAGGAAGAAGAGGAAGAAGAAGAAGAAGAGGAAGAAGAAAGAGGAGGAGGAATAAGAGGAAGAAAAAGAGGAGGAAAAAAAAGAAGAAGGAAACAAAGAGCAAAATTAACTTCGCACTCTGTTGAAACTGTGTAAAAATATATACTATAGCTTCAATCTAAAAGTTCAACCCTTCATCTTCGGGTATTCATTTTTTAAAATTTTAGTAAGCATTGTAGAAATGTTTGATTTTCCTTTGCCACAAGTAACTTTGAAATTAATATAACTGAAAATAATGGACAATAAATATTTCAAAGTTCTATCTGAAAAGGGGAAGTTACACCCTTATGTTGTATTAGAGGCTTTGTGTAAGTTTTGACTTTGTATGGATTTTTTTATACAAAACTTGCTTGGGAGATATATAATATATGAAAATTGAGTTAAAGAAAATTTAGAAAATGAAATAAAATACTAATAAGATAGATATCCCCTTTGAAAGATATGTACTAAAATATTAAAGTATTTCTAACTTGGACACCACCAAAATACATCAATATATCTTAACACTACTGAAAATATAAAAACACATTTGTTCTATCCTAAACTTATGACATTCAAAGATAGCCTCTTTGTTGAAATTAATTTTACTTTGGCTATTTTTAATGATTGCTCAGAGAAGTGTGAAATAGGAATTACATTATTTTAGGCCTTCCCAAGAGACTCATAATATTGCTGTGTGTTCTTTAAGTTAAAGATAGAGCACTCTGTACCATCCTGATCCAGATGGAGATGCACTCAGAATATCAGGGCACTTGTTCTTCTCTAGAAAAATAAAAATAAAAATAAAACCAACCAAGACTGCAACCCCATGTGGCAAGTATATAAACATTGCATAAGGGAGAGTAGGTGCCAGCGGCTCTGCTACCCTTCCTCCTCCCCTCCTCTTCATTTTTCCCCCTTCCTTGTAATGACTCAAGGAATAATTACCGAGTGCAGTAATCTGATATTCCTTCTCTTATCCTTACAAAATACTTTTGTAACATCTTTGGCTGAAACCATAGATAACTCAGTATATCTTATAATACATAGCTAGATGAACCAGTAGATACTCATATATGTGTGTGTGTCCATATATGTATACATATATGAATAGAAAATTACACAAATACAAACCAAATATAGTACTAGAGTATATGTGTGTGTGTGTGTATACACACACACACACATTTGTGTGTGATATATGTATGTATCAGACTTGTGGGTAGATATATGATTTTTTTCTTGACTAGTTCATGCAACAATATTTTCACAAAAATGGCCTTGGGGTTGATCTTCAGAGTCACCATGCTTAAGCACTAGAGATCTAGTTTCTTTTATCGGTTTTCTTCAGAGCAATAGAACTTTCTCTGTGCTTGGCAGATCTTTATTTCTGTCACAACTGCAGCTGTGGACATTTCCTCATTTAAAATTTTGCAACCTCATTTCTCCTTTCTTGTTAATGGGGTGTCTGTTGCAGAGGACTGTAAAATGAAAGGACTTTTACTCTGCTCTCTCTTTTTAAATTATTGATTAGACAGAATCATTAAGTATAGTGTTATGTATTGTATTTAAAGATAATCCAAGATACCTGTTCTTGTCTTCCTACAGATAGCGTGACAATTTATTGGCCTCCATGCCAGGTTAGTAATGAGGCCATACCCAGCTTCATACATACAGACATGAAAATTCAAAATCACAACCTAAAGGTATTATGTTAAAATATATTCTATTCTGAGTTCAATAGATCTAGATTAAAGGATACATAAATGGAAATTTTTCAGTTAAAAACAAAACCATGTACAAAATAACTATGATATATTCCTTAAAGATTATAAGCAGACCAGAAAACAATCTGGTAATAAGATTTAATTTCATAAATAATAGCTTCATAACAAGCAGATACACTATGTATTGGGATTGCTAGAATGTGAAATTTATAATCCAGTTTGTGTTTAAAAGGTTCTTGAGCCTGTGTCCTATAATATTGGGTAATTTGTTTATTTTTAAAGATTTTTAAATTAACTTCTGAGAAGTGTTTCCTAGTCTATTCATCCCTTTCAATTCAAATAAATGATTGGCATTTCTATAATTCATAATGTAAATTGCCACTAATTTTAGAGTCAGACACACACATATGTGTTAGTTAGTATATAAATTTAATAATACAGAATTTTTTAAAAAGAAGAAACTAAAGTCTATATGGCCAATGAACACTCCAAGATCAACAATTTATCACACAGTGAAAACAGATGTATCCATCTCAGGCAAATTCTAAAGAGGAGAAAATCATGTCCTCATTTCAAACTCAGTTTCACAAATTCTGGTTCCAAATGATGTAATGCAGCATTTAGGCTGGGTGAGAATCACAAATACCTTGGTTGAAATCTTGGTTGAGCCAATAGGTAACAATATTCAGTGTATTTTCTGACACATGTCTAATTCTCTTTCTTCATGTGGAAATAACCATGGTGATCTTCATTTCCACATCTTTGTTCAAGATCAAATGAGGTCATACCGAGTATAAAACATTTCTGACAGTTGGGGGTACGTGACAAAGATATTTATAATTTTTTTGTTTTTTTACTGGTACATGATGAAGCTATTTGATTCAATGTAGGAAAAGGTGAGGTATAAACTAGTTGCTAAAGAAAGCAGAATCTACATTTAGTATACATCCAATTTAAAGGTGATCTTTTAGTGTGTGTGTGTGTGTGTGTGTGTGTGTGTGTGTGTGTGTGTGTGTGTGTGTGTGTTAGTACAAGAGCTTGAACTCAAGGCCTGGACATTGTCCCTTAGCATTTTTGGCTCAGGATTAAGCTCTCTATCACTTTGAGCCACAGCTCTACTTGTGGACTTTTAGTGGTTATTTGGAGATCAGAATCTCAGATTTTCCTGCCTGGGTGGGCTTCGAACCATAATCCTCAGATTACAGTCATGAGCTACCAGCACACAGCTGTAATCCTTCACTTTTGGCACCACAAGCAAAAGAATTGTTGTGGAGATGATAGTCTGAGAAATAAAGAAAGTGATGAAGTTGGTTAAAATCCAGAAGGGATAACCTGATTCCTTTTCAGTGATCTTACATGTAACTATACAAAATAGCACAGATATAACCAACTAATATTATACAATTGATATTGTACATATGTAATTTCAAATTGTGCTTTCAAGAGTACAGCATTGTTCTACCATACCAGATTATGATATTCATTCTGTAGTAGTCATTCTGTTGTTTTAATGAAAATGTCCACATGATTTGCTTCTCAATGCTTTTATACTTAAGAAAATATGTTCAGGATGGTCAAAAACTGAGAAACAGTATTTGCTTTTTCAACATCTTGGTGGCTCTCTTTGAAAGTTGCTGTTTTCCTTGAAATTTCCACAAGTCTCAAAGGGTCTCCAGAATTATCCTGAACAATTTAAGCTTTCCTGTCATTCTTTAAAAGGAAGACCTAAAGTTAACAACAATATTACCAAGAACCCGTTGGTGGCCTTGAAAAATCATTCTCTTGCCACTAAAAATATTTATCTGCAATTCCTAATACTACCTCATTAGCTAGTGAATAAGAGATGGAGTCTGGTTAGCTGATGCATATCTTTATCCCTAAGTATCCATGAATGTGTCACACTAGACAGCTTAGATTCATTTAATTAATACAACCATGTTCCTTCCTCAAAGGATTCGAAACAATAAGCCACATTTTCCAGTAAGGTCGCATCAGTTGTTGAAGAATTGCCTTAAAGATCTTAGGATACATTGATTACTAATATAGGGTCCTAAATGATACTAAGTTAAAGAAACCTTAGGTGATTGAATTGACAAGTCTTTTTTTTTTCTTTTTGCCATTCTTAGATGAAAAATCTATGTGACTACTTTGAGTGAAGCTTTTCCACCTAAGACTCTCAAGGTAAAGAATGTGGCCTAGAAAACTGCTGAAGACTCATTGGAGAAATGACGTGGCTGGGCAGAGCTCCTTCCAGGGCTTCTGTGCATGTATCCGTGCGAGTACCTCTCCACAGCCCAAAGCTGAGTGCAAAGTTGGGAAGCTTAGCTGAAGAGTCTCAGGATTCCGAACAGTTAAGATGAACCATTGCTTCTTCATTCAGCCCTCCTGGTCAGTCTCAGGAATGAGCCTCCACTATGATCCTCCAAGTTTAGGCTTCAGTCAAAGGCTGGAATGACAGGTATATTCCAAGGTCAACTGTTGGTTGAGAAAAGGTCCTGTGCATATGCCTGGGCAGGCCTCAATCTGTGATCCTCAGACTGTGATCTTCCCATTTGAGGCAGCTAGGATGATTGATATGAGCCACTAGCACCAGTGTATTGCATAAATTCGTATCACATGGATTCTATTATTGCCCGATTCTATAGTTTAAAATAGCTCCGGATGTTGGGGTGTCACGCAGGAATAAAGACACCATCTCGAAAGGGGAAACCAGGGAAGCAAAGTTTACTTCCGCAGAAGGGCAGCACCATTGGCTAAAAATCTGACAAGCAAGCAGACAGGCTGCTCCCTTTTTAATCCCTAACACAGAAGGCCCCGCCCCTCTGCTTCCATTGGTTTAGCTCAGGTCCATAATCTGCAAAAGGATGTGACTTAATTAACATGATGTGAAATTTTAGGGTACTTCTAACAGGATGTCTTCTTTAAAGTGCTCAGGACAAAGGCTGTATATAACTAAAATGTAATTAAACAGGAACACTCCACTTGGCCAAAGCAGGAAGCCTTCAGAAAAAACGAATTATCTCAAGATTCACAGAAAGGATGCAAACTACTATGATAGAAAAGGCACTTTTCTCACACTGTAGAGCTGAAAACATGAAGAAATCTTGCAGAAGAAGCAAATGTGGCTTGCATTAAGGCAGAGAGAATCAAATCTTCCAAGCTTCCATCTGAAGAAAATATCCAAGTGATTATGATGGGCTGATGTACTGTGGGCAGTAACTAATCCCTGGTCTCCTCTCTTTCCACTATTCCAGAAGAGGAGGAGAGACAGAATCTTTGTCCACTATATAGAAGGATTAACAAAGCCCTGTGGTCAAGTTACAGCAAGAGCCATGGTAAATACAAGGGAATGACTCAATGCTGGATTAAAACAAAGAATGTAATTCATGGAAAACTCTCAAATGTACATGTCAGGATGTGCTAAACCAGTCGACTCCAGCGGATCTGTAGCAACATGTGAAGGATTTACATAAATGTGATCTCAAGCCCAGAATACAAATGTGACTTGCAAATCTGCAGCCCTGGAATCAAGAGAAGGCGCACACCCTGCAGAAGCAATTGATGGTAAACAAAAGCCATTAGTACCCCTGAGGAATGTCTAAACATTCAGTCAACCCTAATCCCATGCAGTTAGGCTGAGTCTGGGAGTGCTGGCCACTCCTGGTAAGTAGCTGAAGAGCCAAACCCAAGTCCTCTCCTCCTGGAGGGTGAAAAAAAAAAGTGCATTGTTGCAAATGAGGGTGGTAACTTGTATTCAACTCAAAGAGAAAAAGTTCAGGAAGGCAGGCAGAAAGGTAGGTTGAACCTTTCTGCCTCCTGGCAGTCTATTTGAGATATGTCCACCTATCCTTGACTTGGGCACACCTCAAATCAAGGTGTATTTCCCGCCCCCCATAGCCCTGTCTCCTAAATCTTCGCTTCCTAATTTAGCTATTTGGTGACTCTTCTAGATACCTTCTCCCTTCTGATAATTTAAGCATTTATCCATTTCCAGACATTCCTGATGGGCAATAGCTCTGGAACTGATCACTTCCTTTCCTTGGTGAAGTTGAAACATTTATGACCTCTCCCCTGAAATCTTGGCCAGAGACTCTCACCTCTTGCCAGAGTACTCATTTATGTTCTTATTATGCTCCTCCAATCAACAATATAGATTTAACATTGCATCAGAGTCAAAAAGTACTCTAATTATAGCATTTCTGCCATCAAAAACAAAGAACTTCAATGGCAGCTCAGAACCTTCTATTTTAAGTAAAATTTCTTTAGCTTAGCACTTAAAATCCGTTAGCCATTTTTTGAAACTGATTTCTCCATTGATGTCTAAAAGTAGCTACATGCTAGAACAAGAACTTCTCATTTTCAGTATTAATGACAGGTTAGCCTAGATGGTTCTGTGTTGGAAGGACCTGTACTGTGCATTGTGGACTGTTTAACAGTGATTCCAGTCTGGTTGTGACAAACAAAAATGTCACCAGGCATTGTCAAATCTTCTCAAGGAGCAAAAGCTCTTTTCTAGACAAAATAGCTCTGTTGAGTTTATTAAAATATATCCTAGGTTTCCTGTGACAATGTACATACTTGTAGTAGGCCTAGGGTTTGAAATGCATTCTCAATAATCTCAATGAAAATCATTTTCCATTATTTCTATTTCATCTCTAACAAGCACCTTTAACAAAATTTCTGTGATTGTTTTAAAGGATATCTACAAATACAAGTATTTTCCTTTACCTTTGCTTTCATTAATGCTGAAAACAATTGTCTCCATGTTGATTAATTTGGCTGCTAAAAAATAAAAGAAAATAAACACTGAACAATATGGGTATACTAGTTCATGCCTATGATCCTAGCACTTGGCAGGTTGAGACCAACCTGATCTACATAGTGAGACCATGTCTCAAATAAATGAATAAATACACAAACAAAGAGGCAAATTTCTTATCTCCTATTTAAATGTATAAACACGTACGGTCTGACTTAAGTAAACTACAATCTACTATTCTGAGCTTTATTTCCCTCATTTAAAAAAATGTCTTCAATACATCTATTTCAGCTTCTTATATAAAAATCCTTGTGCAACTAACTCAAAACTATCTCACTGATAAATACACTCATATGATGTTCTTGTTTAAACAATTTAGAAGAAAATAATCAGTTTTCTGGAGAATAAGAGAAGATAGAAACCCAAATTAGAGATCCGAGGCCTTATAAATTTTTTGGTCTCTCCTTTGTCACTTAATCTGAGATGACTATAAGACTAGAAAGACAAATGGTTTTTCTGTAGGGCTAGGTCTGTTCTGTTGCAGGTTCTCTGTGATCCTGTTCAGAATTTGCTGAAATAGAGTAGTTAGTTGTTCCTCACGTGGGATCCTCAGACTTGTACAACTTGCACTGCCTGAGAACCTACCAGAAAGGTAGATTCTCTAGCATACAGAATAAGAAACTATAGGAGAAAGGGTCTATCTGTGGGGAAGCGTAACTCTTCCAAATCGCATCCTTCAAAAAGGCTTGAAAACTTGTTCAAATATAATGGGATTATTCATCCCATGTCCTATTGGGTGAAGGTTAAGTTGTTGTGGGTTCTGCAAAACAGAGTAAAAGGCAGCTGTGTTCCATATCAAATGAACAGCCTGACCCATTTCCTGGAATTTACAACCTAATCTAGAGTTCATGTCTTGATGCAATAAAATAGTTTAATCTAATTTGATGACCAAAGCATCTGTTCTATTTTGGGGTAGAATAATGAATCTCTACCAAATTGAAAATGCACTAAAATTCATTAAGTTTGGGTTTTCATCGTGTGCTACAGGTGAAGAAAATCCAAAAATAAGGGTATAAGGGAAGGAGAAAGAAGAAAAGCATGTTGTTTTTGAGGTCTTAAATATAGACATATATATAGATATATAGATATATAGATATACACATACCCACACGTGTGTGTACTAGCAGACTCTATTCATCTTCAGAATGTTTGCTTGATATAGTTGTTTACTAATATATGTAATAAAAGAATTAAGATGCATATGTATAAGTAGCTGGGTGCCAGTGGTTCATGCCTATAAT